CTAAAAAGAAGTTTTCATGATAGTATAGAATTACTAAGAATAAAACATAAGATAAATTCTGGAATTGCAAATAAATGACCAGTACTTCTAACAGTTTGGGGATAGGATATCACACAATCATGGGCACTGACTGGACCTATTAAGAAAAATAAAATCTCCGGGCCAAGGGAAAAGGGGTTATAAAAAGGAAAAGACCTGAAGGAAAGAAATCATTCAGTCAGTGGTATTTCAACTGCTGACACTAGAGGGCGGCATGGGCTTAGTCCTTGGTCATCAAATAACTTGAAAAAGTTGTGGAGGCTGCAGGTTCCATTCTCATACACTCACTGTGGGTCAACTCAGTAGGTCTGACATAAGCAAGTTGCTGAACTCCTGGGCACAGCAATGTCATTTGCATGACAAGCCTGCCTGCTGCCCTCAGAATGGTCTGAAGATTTAAAAGGAGAGCTTCAGGCTTGCCTGTGTGCTCAGCAGCCTTGAAAAGCACAGCTCTGGGCTGTCTGCACCATGGCCTGGGCTCCTCTCCTGCTCACACTTCTGGCTCACATCACAGGTCAGCAGGGATTTTCTGGCTGGGGCTGAGGAAGGGAGTGATACTGCCTCTGTTGCCTCCACTCACCATCCCTTTTTTCTGCTTCTTTTCAGGGGTTGAATCGCAGGCTGTGGTGACTCAGGAATCTTCACTGTATATCTCTCCTGGAGGGACAGTTACCCTCACCTGTGGCTCCAGTACTGGAGCTGTCACAACCAGTAACTATGCCCACTGGGTTCAAAAGGAACCATACCAAACCCTCAAGGGCCTAATACACAACACCAACATCCGGTACACTGGTGTCCATGCCCGATTCTCAGGCTCCTTGCTTGGAGACAAGGCTGTTCTCACCATCACAGGGGCCCAGCCTGAAGACGAGGCCACGTATTACTGTGCCCTGTGGTACAGCAACCATTTCCACAGTTACACATGCTTATGGGGAAGTGAGACAAAAACACCCTTGTGCAGACTCACCCTGTTCTCCTGAGCACCCCCTTGCATACAAACACAAGGCTCAGTGTTGAGTCTGACATCTGAGAGACGAGAGATGAGAAAGATGAATCATTGGAGACTAGAAGAGGGCAATCGGAGGCAACCAGTACAAGAGCCCCAGCGAACTCCACCTTCGCCAATGGATACCCTTCTGTAACTCTCTCCTGAGTGTGTGCTGCAATGTGTGCCTGGAATAGTAAATTTGAAGAAGGCTTTAGTAAAGCAAAACACTTGACATAGGAGATAAGAGTAGCTCCTTTTGGTATGTACCTGGACCTGCTGAGGAACAAAGTTTCTTTAAGATAGAGATCGTTTAGAGTCAAGCCACAACCCAGCGGGCAAGGAGAGAACTTCCAGGGGGAACAAGAGAAGCATTTGTGTGTCTAGGACATGTTACGCAGCAATGCCACCAGAATTCCCAGTGTGAGAGAACTAGGAAAGGTGGAAAGCATTAGAAATTTCATGGCTCAATCATTTTCTTGAGTCTCATTAATAAATGTTAAGTGCCCTTTCGTGATGTAGGCAAAGCAGGCAGACACTAC